ATCTCTATCTTTCTTTCTTGTTTTTTTTTTTTCTATTCTTTGTCTCTAACTCGAGTAGAGTGAAAACGTTGTTGAAATACGTCGATACGCATTGCCGAAATGATTTCGTTTGGTTCATTGAACTTTACTCTATCTTCCTTGTTTGATTTAGAGAAAGAAAAAGAAAAAGAAAAAGAAAAGAAATAAAGAAGAAAATGTAATTAAACGAAAAAGTCATTGTGCACGTCAGAACGATTTTTCAAAAAAACACACAACGCGACTCAGTTACACGTATTTTTTCTTTCTATTTTTTTTTTTTTTTTTTTTTAAGGAACATTTCACATGTCGTACATTATAACTATACAAAAAGTAACATGATTGGCTTTGAGTTGTGGAAAAAAGGAAGAAATAGTTTCGCGTCAACGCCTTTGTGTGTGTGTTGTGATTTACGAATACGGAATAGAAAAAGAGAGAACGGCAAAAAGAGAGAAAGAGAGACATCGAATGGTATCAAAAGAGATACAGTGTGGTAGAGAGAGAGATATAGATAGACAGCTTTTCTCACCCCTTTAAAAAGCGACAGCTTTTCATTGGATGCGACGAAGCGTACATACATTCATACATACATAGATTCCCATGGTGCGAAGAAAAAGAGAAGAGAAGCAGACAAATTCGATTTTTCCACGATGGCGGAAGATACGCCGAGAATTCCAAGAGTTTAAGGAAAAATTGACTCCCCAACGATTCTCTCTTTCTATACAAAAAATTATTAAAAAATAATGAAAAAACAAAAGAAGACAAATATTTATGTATAATAAGATTGAACTTAAATGCAAATCTTGTTAGTTGAATAAAATAAATAATGTTATGAAAGAGTGGTGGTGGTGAGGTATGATAAGACCCCTACGTATGTTAGACCGTAAAAGAAGGAGTATATTTGTCGGATAAATTTCATCGAGGCCATTAGGAACGAAATCGAAGCGAGTGGAAACTACTACTGACGATGCCTTCCTTCCGTGCCCAATGAAAACCGGTTTTTCAATGCGTCGGCACTATCATGTATATGTATATATGTGTATGTATTATACGAGTATACAACTGTTGCAATGAACGAACGAAAGAATCGATTTTTCTTACGATTCGATAAAAGTTCACGTGCATGAGGTGATGGTGGGTCTCTTTGCATGTGCAATCTAAGCTGTCTTTAACGTTTACTGATTTCTACATAGAAATATGTAATAAATGTAAGTAGTAGTAGTAGTAGTAGTGTTGGTTTAGTGTATAGATGATTCTTTTTTTTCTTTTTTCAATATAATAATCTAAAATACCAGGAAGATGATACGTCGTTATCTTTTATTATTCTGTTCAATGCACATGCACACAACACACACATATCCTTGTAAAAGATTACAAGTGAAAGTTTCATTTTTATATGAAAATATAGAAAGGATTGAGAATGATTTAAAATTAGCTGCTAAATTGAATTTATCGGAAATATTACAAGTTTATTGAAGTTTTATCAAAAGAAATAATAAAGGTGACTCATATGAATTGAAGTAGAGGATCATAAGAATAAGAGAAAATCGAGTTGCACCCTTGGTGGTGACACACATCCACCACCCTCTACTTGCACTCTACTAGCACGCAACAGCATGCTAATTAATAAGAGCATGCCGTGTAACTGCCCAATCACCACCACAACACTACCCTGATTCATCCCCCAATTCTCTTTTACGATAAAAGTCACAAAAGACATCGGTGGTTGGATATTATATTGGTAAGGAAATGAAGAGGGGTTGGTTGTTGCAAGGCCACACCCTTTCTTTTTCTTTACACACGTTAAAAGAAGGGTGTGAAAACAATGTGTGACGTACAATGTGTGATGTGCGTTGAGGTGCGAAAGAGGAATATATTCTGTTTCTTTCTCTTTGTCACACTTGAGAAAAATACTCAAGTACTCCTTCTTCTCCTCCTCCTCCTCCTCCTCGAAACCCTTCTTTTTCTTTTTCTCTCTCACACACACTCTTTCTTTGGAAAGCACTCATCTTTTAAAAGTATCTAGAAGGGTAGTAGGGTGTTGGGGTGTGTATATCGTCGTCCCAATCGCGTATTTTTCACCAAGGACTTCGAAACACTTCTAACACTCCTTTTATTGCGCGATTATTCTGGGATCCTTGCCAGCCTTCTTTTTACTGAGAAGCTTCGAGGATTTCTTTCTTTCTTTCTATTTCTTTTTTTTTTTTTCAAGATCGGGTAGAGAAGCTTACGGGAATTCTCTAAATCCGGATCAAACTGTTACGTCGAACTACGAATGGAATTCGACACGTGTTCGATACACGCTGAACAATATTTTGTATCTTTTAGCGAATACATTTTTCGAGAGTAATACTAAACGATTACTATTACAAATTTTATATTTCAAATTGTTGTATTATTTATACAACACATATATATATATACGTGGTGCCATGATAAAGTTACATAACGTTATGATAGAGTAAACAAGATTTAAGACTTAACGATGGTTTTAGGTATTTATCTCGACCTACGATACAAACTACCACCACCTACGCCCTTCTCTCCCTTTTTCCTCCTCTATCACCGATCTTATTTATGATCGTATAAAATTCTTTCAAAGATCTCAGAGCAAAAGTTGTAAGTAATAGTAGTAGTAATAGCATTAATAGTGTTGTTGTTAGTTAGATAGAGTTATGGTAACGAGACACGTACATTATGCGTGTGTATGTGTTGTGTGTGAGGGGAAAAAATATAAACCGATTAAATGAATTTATCGTTTTATGAATAATATACGACGCGTATCTTGAATAATAAATAAATGTATTTTTTTWTTTTTATTTTTAGAACAAACGAGCTTGTCTTTATCCTCAAGCAAAGATAATGAAATGTAACGAAACACACTGATGGCAAATTAACTAGAACATTTTATTTATTTTATTTTTTTTTTTTTATATTATATAGGGAATAATAAACACGTAAAAGAAATACTTTGAGCAGATGTGTACGTGTCAGATTAAAGGGTAGATTTATTTTGTCTTTCTTTTTCAGTTGGCTATGACTTTATAAGCCATAGGATGTAGTAAGAGGATGGGGTGGGGTGGGGAGTACTCTCTGTAAAACACTTATTCTTTCTTTTTTTTTTTTTTTCATTTTCGAAGGGAGAGTGCAACGACGAGGACGTGTACTCAGGAATTCTCTATTACATTGGCATTGATCGTGAAATGTGCCATATGTGTGGCTATGAATGACGAGGGTTAACGAAGACCACCAATCTTTGATGGAACGAGTGTTCAAAATTAAATACGATAAGAGAGTGTGTAGAACAATAATAATAATAATAATAATAATAAATTGAACAAATTTACAATTTCAATAAGTTTATCAAATCGAATAAAAATGAACATGAAAAATGAAATAGATTAATATCTTTGACACAGATAATATTTAATTACTTTATTATCTTGTTAGCTTAAGTGTTAGAATCGATTAAAAGAAGAAGAAAAAAAAGACAATGTAAAATGTTGACGAACGTTTAAAATAAACTTTCTACTTTTCTATTTTCGTAACGCACGAACGTGACAAAACGGAAGACTAGTCCTATAGTAGTTTGCTTTTTCTCGCGGTGACGAACAATGTTGCACGTCAGGTAAGTATATATCCGGGAAGTTTGGGCCATTGAACCATGTTACTGGTTGTTAACACAATGAACGATAGAAGCTTGCAAGTAACAAGAAGACCGGTTTTGTTTGCCTCGATTATCGATTTTCTTTCTTACGTAGTCTTAATAACACTTCTGCTGCTCCTTTTTTTTCTTAACAATGACTTCATAGAAAACAAACTATTATTAGATAATAATAATTAATAACAAAAAAAAACACAAACACACACACACATATATATATATAAAAGAATAAAATGTATTATTCTGAAAGATTTGCTATGCAAACTATTTGAAGGGAGTGAAAGTCTAACTGTTTGAATGTGAGCTTCGTGATATTAATGATGGCGCGAAGGTTGGCGCAATTATTTCAAAGCCTTTACGAATTGCGAAACATTCATGCTAAAGAAGCATAATCGTTCTTTCAATATATCGGAGCTGTTCGATGATTCAAGAAGATTAATATAAGCTGATTCATCAGTTTTCTTATAGAACGTTTGATACCTCGTTTTATTGTTTGTTTTTTCTAATTAAATCAACTAATTATATACTATCATTAATTAAATTATTAACATTTTCTATATAATAGAATGGAAATGATGATAATTTGAGGAAAAGAAAATACGAAATTTGATCATTTTCAATGATAGGAATAAGTAGAAAATATTGAAGAAAGATATTGCAACGCAAGAGAGGTGCCATCAAGAAGAAGAAGAAGAAGAAGAAGAAGAAGAAGAAAAGGGATAATTCAACGCGACTTGCAGCCGGTTTTCCATAGCAGCCTATCACGAAACTCTTACTAGGTACGATGAACCAGAAGGATGACTCATGATTCTCCCCTTCCAATCATGATTACAATGAAGAAGAAGAAGAAGAAGAAGCAAGCAAGGACATTAGTCCTGGTGATCTTGAGGTAAAAGCACCTACGCAATATCCTTTTTAAATCCACAAGGTAGAAAGAAGGAAGAGAGAAAGCAGGAGATAATAAAAAGAATATAAATAATAAGAAGAGGTGAGAGCAGCCTAGTATTACTTATTATACGTCTGCTGGCTAGGACGATTTATTGCAAAGAGTATTTCTCTTAGCATTGTCGTTCTAGAAAGTTAAGAGATTCATTATAGCTTACAGCAAATCTTACAACTTCTGTTATCAAACTATTATTTCTCTATTATATATATATATATATATATATATATATATATAGATAAATAAACACAAGAGTATATGTATGGAGTATTTAATTTATGTTATTTTCAGAGTTAATGATTTTGTTGTTTTCCTGTTAGGAGAGAGATACGACGACTAATAGGAAGCTAGTTTTTTGATTGTTGTTAGTGTGCTTACCTCTGGCAGCGGCTCTTCTTTCGTGACGTCTCCATTCTTAGGTGCTTCTTCACGAGCCGGCTTGCTCTTGTCCTTCTTACTGAAGCTGATCGACCTCAAAGACCACTTTTTCCTCATCTAGGAGCACAACGAGAAAGCGTCATTGTATAATACAATATACGACACATCTAATCTTTATATCATTTTTTTGTATAAGTAAAAAAAATGGCGTGGGTATTCTTGATGCTATTTCTAATGAAATGATTTTAATAGACAAGTACCCAAAATTATTATTTAACAAGCCAACAGACTGTAAATGAAATAATAAATTTGTATATATTTATATGAATTTTTGAAATGATGATAATAATAACACACCTTCTCTTTTTTTTTAGGCTCTTTGCTTTCTGGCGATGCTACAGTGTTGGGACTTGCAGCATTACCTTCTGTAGGCGTTGTTACTTCCGCACCTTCTGCTGGAGATTCACCTGACGATTCTTGCTTCGTGTCCTCTGGCTTTGCTTCTTCAGATTGTTGCTGAAAAATAATGCATCGACCAATAAGATACACAACGTAACAACAATACTAATCTCCTCCTCCTCCTCCTCTTTAACTATAAATAAGAACAAACGGGGAACAAAAGATGTGAATTAACATGATTTTGCATCCTTTCAAGGATCATTTTTACATTGTAAATAATAAGATCGATGCGGAATGATTAATTAATTATTTCTCTTTGTGTTTCGTTTTTTTTGTCTCTTGAGTATACATACACACACACATTGTTGTATGATAAAGAATTGTTACATTTTCGATATAAAATTGAACAAAATAATATGGAATTAAAGGAGAAAAGGAAAAAAGGGAAAAATGAAATAAAAGATGAAGGAATATATTCTTCGTTGGAATAATAAAGCAGCTGGTGCTCTGCTGCTGCTGCTGTGGCTTGGACGAACAACACGTCGTGCAGGATGAAACCGCGAAAATCTCAGATTACGGAGAATGGATAGTGACTCTCAACTTGATTTTTCAATAAATAAATCAATGAAGTTTTATAAGAATTTAAATATATCTATATATATATATATATATATATATTATCTTATATCTGTCATTTCCTTATATATATATATATATATATATATATATATATATAAGGAAATGACATAGGATTATAAAATTTGATAAAAGATTCCCAGGAATAAGTTTTTCTTCTTTTCGTATGATTTTGAGGGATATAATCAAAAGAAAGTATCGTATAGAATAAAGAAGAATAAAGTTCTGGCCGGGGCAATTTTTCTTTTTTTTGTTTTTTATTTATGAGAGGGAAACAACACGCACCACGTTCATCATCGCCTTGGGCACATTATATTATGTAAATAACGAGTTATTTTCGTTCTTGGTAGACGCGGAAACGTGACAGGTCCGTCTGGGACTACGTGTCTTTTGCTATTGTGTAAGGTGTGAAATTGTACATGAAGTTGAATGAGAATAATGTTGATTGTAGAGACGTATGCTATGTAACTTTTCATATATATAAATGCAACATTATGTATCTCTATGTATGATAATATGATATATATATATGTATGTATGAATATGTGGATGCACAGTTAAACATTGTAGATACGAAGTGATGCATTTAGCAGTCTGTGTTGCACGTATTCTTTATTTCTTTTTTGTAATTTCTTAGTATATTCGTGTAATAGTCCTTTGAATGAACGTGTCACAATTCGCTTAAATAAGAAGCGCCACTTTATTACACAGCTATTTTCTTTTCTTTTTTTTTCTTTTTTTTTTTGTCACGTATGTGAAGAAAACACGAATTGAATTACGAAAAAGAAAATTAGCTACGCTTTGGCGCCACTTTGTTGCTAAGAAATTTGTTAGATTGTAGTTTTTGGTTATTGCACGATACTGCAATATCATTGAAATTGTTTGATTTTTTAATGAAATAAATATAATTAAACTTTTTGTTTCTTTTTGCTTACGAGAATCAATAACGAAGTATAATATTACTATGTTTTTAATTCGATATTATTTTACGCAATGATAGCAAACAGGAAACTGAGAAGGTCGCTTCAAGGACCACCATATTCTCGTGTTGAATTTTTTTTCATTTTGTTTAAATACACTGCTACGAATTTCAATCGGGCGAATTTTAAAACACACCTTTTCCGTTTGAGAAGCTTGAGAAATAAGTTGTGGAATGTGGCTACTTTGAAACAATATTTTGCACGTGATTCTTATTTTCGAATATTTAAACAAAATGGACAAAAAAAAAAAACAAGAAAAAGGAAAATTAAAAGTCGGTTCTTTTTGTCGAAGGCAAATCTCGTGCGGATAATCGCGTTTTCGTGAGTTTCTCTCGCGTGAATATAAACGAAAAAAAAAAAAAAAAAAGAATGAAGTGTCTGCGAGAAATATTTTACTAACACGAGAGAGATTCCTCGAAAAATATGATATTATATTTTTATTAAATTTCCTATCCCTTTTTTTTTTACAGTTCTCCCTCTTTCTCGAAAATTTTTGACAACTTGAACGATCTCTCAATTGGTTAACTAGTTATGATCATTTTTATACACTAATCATAATGAGCGATCATTTAATCTGATCACGATCATCTGAACTATTTGTCCAACCAACCATTAAACCCAAATACATATATAAAAAGAAACAAAATAAATGGAAATAATTAAGACGATAAAATTGGATATAACATAAATCATATTTTGTAATTTCATTTAATTTTCTAATCGTTTCTCATTCTCACACCTTACTTTGAAATTTGATGAAAGCGGATAAAAAAAAAAAGAAAGAAAGAAAGAAAGAAAGATGAAATGAGATATGTGTTGTAAATGTCATATTATGGGCGAAAATTGAAAGGAATTCGGGTTAGATGCGAGCTTAATTAGCGAAAGCGAACGACCAAGTCGCAAGTCTCTCAGTTTAATTAATAAAACTAGTTTTCTCATGGAATGCAATATATGTGTGTATGAGAGAGAGGAAGAGAGAGGAAGAGAGAGAGGAATATGACTCACGATCTTAAGAGTTCACGATTAAATGTTCTCCACGAATTTCTTCTATAGACATTAAAACTAAAATTTGCAATTACTTTTGTAAATAAAGTTTTTTCCTAAAAAAAAAAAAAAAACTTAATAAAGAACAAAGTGAACATTCACAAAAAAATAATCAAAAGGTAAATCTTATCTAAATATAAATTACGTGTCACGTTGTTTGTCCGCAATGGACTCGTATATTATAATCGCAATTGACTTAAAGACGTGTGTATCGGACTGATTGTGAATCCCCTGTGCACCCCTAGTATAATAATTATCAATTATCAAAGGAAGGAAGGGAAAAAAAATATGTAGACACATATTTTTATTTAACTTCCCACTTTTAAAAGAATAAACACATTTTATATATATCGTGTAATCTTTACGAACAAGTTTGATCGTGACTTTGAAAATTCACGGTCACCACGTAGCAGTAGTAGTAGTCATCGATGTGATAACTCTACTACAACTATACTACTATTACTACGACGACGACGTTACATCTAACGAATGAGAGAAAGAGAGAGAGAGAGAGAGAGAAAGAGATAGAGATGTAAGGTGAGGCTTGAAAAGTACATTTCATCTTGAAAATAAAGAACGAAGAAGAAGCCATAAGAAGACAGGTGGTTTGCTTAAGAGAAAGAGAACCTTCTAAACCGGCTGGTTGCACACCTGCCATTTAAATTTGTCAGATAAGAATATGTGGTTTTTCATTTTTTACATCTTTTCTATCTCTCTCTCTCTCAAAGTTGAGAGTTGTGAACCACAAAAAATGCGTTCTCTATAAATTCTAATTTTACATCTACATAATTATCTAACTGTATGGGTTAATACAATTCAATAGAAAGGGGAAAAAATGAAGGCAGAAAAAAGGTAAAACCATACTCGAATTGTATTACAAAATAATACTTAACCCGTCAATTAACAGTCAAATTATTTTTGGCTAGAGAAATATTTATAATTTTTAAAAAAATCTTAAATGGGGATTGTGGCTGGTTGCACGAAAAAAAAAACCAATAAGAGATTATTATGCCATTTTTCCATACAGTCCATATAAAACCGAGTGGTGTACGTAAAATTCCAAAATTCCCAAATGGGAATCGTGGCAGTTAATAGGTTAAACTCAATATGTTTTTTTTTTTCTAAGTCCGTTGACATTTATCTTTCTTCTCTATGAAGAAATTGAGTAAATTAACATCGTAAAAAAAAAAAAAGAAAAAAGAAAAAGTAGGTAAAGTTATAATAATCATGGGAAAAGTAGTGTAGAAAAGGGGTAGGAAAGATTTATGCTCCCGTGACAGTTAGATGTGCCTCTTTAACAAACGTGTACACGTGGAGAAACGATTACGGTTAGTCGTAAAAACGAGTTACCGGTGGGTTTGCGATCTTTCCCCCTACCCTACCCTACCCTACCTTACCCTACCCTTCCGTTCTGTTCTTTCTTGACCTGTCTACTGGGTTATGTCGTTCTTTAAGTCACACCAACGGTATACGTCTATTTTTCTTTCTTTCTTTCTTTCTTTTCACATGAAATTTCGACCAATCAACGAAATAAGATCCTTTAAAGTTGACGTTTGGAAGATAAGAAAAGGGAAACGAAGAAATGAAATAAGAAATGATTTCTTCAACGGAAATGAAAGAAAGAAAGAAAGAAGAAGAAGAAGAAGATGAAAAATAGTAGAAAAGAGAAAGAACTCTCTCATATTCCTTTCTTCGTTATTGTGTATGATAGTTGAGAACAAGTGCAAACATGATCGAGAAAATATCATCGAACTTCACGTAACAATTTTTAATATCCTTTTCTCGATTATTATTTGACTTCGGTGGTGGTATTTTATTTAATATCTCACGGTTAACCGAATTCCATTCTGTTCAAACACAAAGTTCGACTGTATCTTATTATTCGTAGAATCGAACCTAAGTCATTCGAAGTCTTAGACAAGTCGCATTTTACTTAGGTCAAGCTTGGAATAGTACGCGGAACAACAAGTAGATGACAATAGACGTGTGGTGGACGACAAATAGTACAATCTATCCTGAGTTAACATTTCGTTCGCCTGAACACCTAACTTAACTTTATATCCAAAAGTAGCCTAAAATAAATTCTATTATAATGTTAACATTAAATTTTGTTTCAATTGCAACTAAAAAAAAGAAAAAAAAAAACACACACACACAATTATAATTTGGTTAATTATTGTTAAGAAGGAAATGATTTATTTTAGGCTACTTTGCAAATATATTAGATTATTTGAAATTTCTTACCTTTTCCTTTTCCTTTTCCTTATCCTTCTCATTAGTATCATCCTTGTCTTTGTCTTTATCTTCGTTAACGTCGGTACGATAAGCAATGCCATTGGTCGTTGGTTTAGCATCGCTTTCCTCGATCCTTTCTAGTTTTCCATCACCAGGTGTTGCTGCATCACCAACAGCACCTTCGCTTGGGACACCTTCTTTCTTCGGCGTCGTCGTTATATCGACTGACCTTTTGCTTTGTCTGGCACCCATCTTTACTTTTCTTTAATCCTTTCGAATCGCTACTTTATATTATCCTCTTTCTTCTTCTATCTTTATCTTTTCCTTTATCAATGTTGCGCACAAGCGCTTGCTCACTTTTTACCTGTAACAAATTCAAACGTATATTTTCATTAATATTGCGTGACAAAAGAAAAAAAAAAAAAAACCAAGTATTTCGATTAGAATTAAAATGTGTATTTAAAAAAAAAAAGAAAAGAACGTTCACCCCTGTGACACAGTTTATTGCTCGATGAAACGAATCGAACGTGCAAGATAAGGGTTATTATTAATCGATCAAAGGGATCAAAATAGAAATCCACTTTTAATACAATGTACATTCATATTATACTACATATGAACTATTCAATAATTTTCTTAATTATTTTGTTGTTTTTTAATGTAAAATACTAATATTGAAGAACATATTGCTTGCGTTATACCAAAGCTACAACTTTCGCAAATATATCCCACACCACAGCACACCATCACCATCACCATAACCACTACCAAGCAACCAGCTGAAATCTGATAGCACCATCTGTCGTACTCCACACACATTCTACGCACCGGTTTCTCGAAAGTTTCTTTCCACGAGAAAGAGAGAGAAAGAAAGAAAGAGAGAGAGAAAGAGAGACTTTCGATCCTCCTTCGGATTTAGCTGCTGCAGGTGCGCCAGAAGAAGTTACAACCGCTCGTAAACGTTCCCCACGTGCAAATCCTTTTCGTCGAGTGAATTTCAAAGAGAACCCATAAGCTTTCCTATGGTTTCTCCTCTCTCCCTCTCTTTCTACTCTTCATTCTTCCTTTCGTTCTTTCATCATTTGCATTTATAATCGATTCTTCGATATTAACATTTTATCTTTTTCTATCTCATAATTTTACGTAATATCTTGATACGAATTTTGCATTAATTGTGGATCGTTTAAATTGTGGCGAAAAAAAGCAGGTGATATTGGTTAGCTCTCTACGTAATCGAATCACTATTTGAAATCACGATTGCCAAACGAATTATTATGCGAATCGATTATTTTCGCATAAGTTTTTTTTTTTATTTTTTTTATAGATAACCCCGTACGATTTTTCGCACGATTTATTTAACGCAGGTGTTGCGAATTAAATACACAAGAGAGAGAGAGAGAGAGAAAGGTAATACAAGTGTGAGTGGGATTGGACACGTATTTAAATATCCCTCGTATCGTATGCGTTTTAAATCGAAAGAAATAAACGCTAATTTCTACGAGGTGGGATAATAAATTCTTACGAATCTTTCGAATAAAAGGAAAATTTAATTCAATAAATATCTACAAAAAAAAAAAAAAAAAAAAAATGAAAACTTTGTATCGTAGGACAATTGGTTGGAAGAAAGAAAATAGATAGAAATAATGAACACCAAGAAAAGAAAAGTTGAACAGAGCAGCCCGTTGTTTCAACAACACACGTTACTACTAATTATCGACATACGTTTAGTAGGATCGCAGTGATTCCGTTAAAACGACGTATAACCTAACGGTAACAGATATTTACCTAGAATGTTTTTTTTTTCCTTTCTTTTTTTGCCATAGGTCGATGAAAAAGAGGATTCATTGTTCGTGAAAGAAAACCAGGAACAACAGAAACTTTGTTAGAATATCTTTCGTGCAAGAAATATCTAACTAATTTATAGAATAGAAATCAAATTATAAATGTAAAAAAAAAATAAGAATTTTGGAGTAATCAATCCGTGCTATGATTTAACGTTCTAAAAATAATTTTATTTTGCAATAAGAGCAACGTTATCGTATAATATACACGTGTGTGTGTTCTTTCGATCACATTTTTATTCGACGCGTCATTAAATATGGTAAATATTTATGTATGTACTTACGCACACGCAATCTAATAATAATAATCTTAACTTTATCGATAAGCCATAAAAGATTATTCTTCAATCGAGCAATTTATTTTCAGATTTGATTCAGTTTAACAAAATTTATATGTTTTTTTTATATTTATATAAATTAAATTGAATTTGAACAATTGAAACAGTTTTGATAAGAAATAGAAATTGTTTGGAATAGAGGAAAAAACATTGAATCTATGAGAAATGTGAGAAATCAAGGGAATATTTAATTCGTAAAGGTGGGAAGAACTACTCTCTCTCTCTCTCTCTCTCTCTCTCTCTACCTGTGTACAGTGTACAACTCCGTTATACTCGTTAATTGTCAGGGACGTTTCCTCGTTAGTATCAGCCGGTACTTGGATTATCGTTATGCATATGCATGCACGCGTACACAAGAGAAAAGGATGGAATGGGATGAGATGGATGCATTACTGGTTCTCACGACACAACCAGAACAAGATAGTAGAAGAAATAAGAAAAAGATGAAACTATCTTTGCATGACTCTGACACCAGTCAACACTGTTATAAAGCTTTTAATAGACGTTCGACGTCGCGACGTGTTGTGTGTTATACCCGTGTCGTCGTCCTGTACTATATACTGCATTTGTCGCTCAGTTCTCTGAATGTGCTTATTAAATCCATTCAAAGGGTTTTACAAAAAGAAATCTTTCTCTAGTCTCTTTTTTTCTCTTTGAAAAATACTTTCATAGAGAGACAACCTAACGTTACCACTACCACCACCACCAATACGCTTTTTTCTTTGATCTCTTTCTTTTTTTGTTCCTCAATGATCATTATAAAACGTGTGTGTAGAAAGTAAGCTATTAGTCATCTTGAAAAAGTGAATTATGATTTAATCGAATATTTGATTTGCTACCTATACACACATATTGAATACATTATTTTTACAAACACAATTATGTATGCAAGAGGTATTACAAATTCGGTGTGTTTTATAATTAAATAAATGATGAAAATCATTTCGAATAAAATTTTGTTTAAAAATAGATTGCCTAAGATAAGATTAGAGAAAGAGAGAGAGAGAGAGAGAGTAACACACGTGTTACGTTTATAAAACGATTAATGACTATATTTCTCTGTCTTCTTCCCACGAGCTTTAAAAAGTTTCTTTCTTTTTAACTAAGAAGACATCTACTACTCTTGAGCTTCCTCGTACTTATGGCTACGGAAGGAGTTATTTTTTATCGTTCAACATATTGCAGAGAATAAGTAGAAGAGTTGAAGGGACTGGGCTTGAAGAACGCACCATGTGCGTACTTTGAAGAGGAACACGATGGAATAACATAAACATTTGTCGAAACCCTTCCTGATGCTTAATATAGAAACACCGGAGGTAGTAGGAGGACGTGATACAACATACACACAAAGAAAAATAGATTCAACAAGACTTTGTCGTCCTTTCTTTACTGAACACACACATATTTACTTTAATCACTGTTATTAAACCAAGTAAAAACATTCTAATCAAATTGTAATATTAACAAGGAAAAGATTAGATAGCACTTGATTAAATTTATAAACTCTTCTTCAACGTATTATTTATATGAATATATATATATATATATATATATATATATTTGTTAAAAATATTATTAAAAAGTAGTAAGTATTTCGGTTGGAATATAGAAATGTTAGAAAAGTGAGGGGTGGTAACGAAATAGAAACACCCTGTTCTCCCCCTTCTAAGCATGAGTGCGCTCGATGGCCTGTATACGGAGAGGACGCGTGTCCCGCATGCGCGAGCAGATGCGGATTCAAGCGCACGTGCGCTCGCGCTTCGACGAAGTCGAGAAAGAAACATCGTCGCGTATGGGAAACGAAGCATACAAAAGAAAGAGAAAGAGAAAGAAAAAGAGAAAGAGAGCGAGAGCGGGGGATGAACACAAAACGTATAACGTACAACGTATAGAACGTTATAAGGGATTATTCCTGGCTACGTAGTGGCGCATGCACCCTTCAAGCTCGTGTAAACACCAAGCTGCTATAGCTGTTGAAAAAAGGGAAATACGAGGAGTAAGAAGAAGCTTGGATGGATTAAAGGCTCGTGTAAACGAACGAACGAACGAACGAACGAACGAACGAACGAACGAACGAACGAACGAACGTTACAACGAAAAAGGAAAACTTCTTATCCACGATGATGAGTATAGAGGGTAAGATTTAAGATAAAAAACAGATAAAAAAACAGATAAAACGGGGGAAAAAAGAAAAAAAGAAAAAGAGAAATGTTTGGTAGAGTGCTTATGAGTTAGATGATTAAAATTTATAATACACTAAGTAATACAAAATCTCATTGAAATAATCCGTTGTTAAAAGTCTTGCTATATTTATATGTATAAGTTTTCATATGTTAATCCTTTGCACTTGTGCCAATATACATACATGCATACGTAATCTGTTTATAACAAGTATAATATCATATCATATGGAAAATTTCTAAACTTACAACAACATAGACTTTTTATTATTAAATAAAAATAATAATTATAAAACGATGTAACAACACTAGTTTGCCCGTATGGTCGTTGATATTTCGGTCAATTAAATTTCTTGTATTTTCACAAGAAAAAAGAATTCTATACAATTAATTAAGTCAAATAGATGAGGAGACATCTCTTAGAAAACTTTAGTGTCAAAGAAAAGAATGCCTATAGTGTCTAAGATTAATAGTCATTGGAATTAAGCAAAAGTAAAGAAAAGAAAAGAAAAGAAAAGGGTAGGGGAAAAAATGATCATTAGATCTAGGAAATCATGGAGAATGATCTCAGGCACGTTATGACGTCAAAGAAGAATAATCGTGCGTGCACGTCTTCTTACTAGTAGTAATAGTAGACTTACTAGTAAATGTAGAAGAAGAAGAAGAAGAAGAAAGGAAAGGTTCAAAGCGTTGGTAAACGTCGAGAGAAAGGCAGATGTGGGTAAGTTAACGACCCGTTATCGCGCGAGCGTTGAAGTTGCCTGCTGCTGCTGCCTCCTCCTCCTCCTCCTCCTCCTCCTCCTCCTCCTCGCTAAAACTGGTTGCCTCAACACAACTCTGAGAGATCGCGGCCACCATACGAGAAACAAGAACAGAAGGAAAGAGAGATGAGAAGAAACGAGAAAAGATCAGATGAGAGGAGATGAGAGGAGAGGAGAGGAGAGGAGAAAACGATCAGTTCAGATGAGATGAGATGAGATGAGAAGAGGAGAGAGGTAAGATGAAGTAAAGTGAGGTGAAGTGAGGTGAGGTGAGGGTGAGGGTGAGGGTGAGGGAAAGAAAAGATGAGAGGAAAGAAACGTAGTGGGGAGAAAGGGCACCGCGCATTTTAAGAGAAGGGGGCGATGGGGGGAGAATCGCGAATCGTTGAGAGGAGAAGCCGATCGACCGAGTACGAGATACTCGGCACTCCTCTATCTTTCTTTCTCTCTCTCCCTCTCTCTCTCTCTCTCTCTCTTTCTCTCTCGCACGTTCTCCCGCAGGTGCAAGCAAAATCGAACGGCTGGCGCGGAGGCTGCGCGCTTACGCGTTTACCTGGACCACGGCTATGCACGAATTGATGATGCGTTTAAATTAGCTACTATAGCGATTTGAATTTTCACCTGCTCCTATGCGAAATGAAAATAAAACAAAAAGAAGAGTAAAAAAACAAGCAAAATCTACACCTATAATTAGTGTTTTTCGGAAGAATCCTTTTTCTATTTTTTTTTTTTTCATTAAAAAAAGATTAATAAATTATACCTCGTGCGTGTAGGTATAACTAGTACAACAAGTTTTTAATCATACATTTGACATTATATAATTCGTTTATTAAGACGCAAATATAAATGAGGGTTATAAAAAGGTTAACGAGATAATATTTTATCGAAATTATAAATAATTTTGTATAGAAAGATTTCTGGACAATATATTTTGTTTTCTTGTCCTTTTCTAAGTATAATTTTTTATTTTTTTCTTGTCCACAAAAGTGGAAATAAAGATCAAGAAGTGTGCTGCTTATCTTTCCTCCTAACGTTAAAACAAGTTCGTTTTCGCGGAACCGCGATTATAGTACACGGTCTAGGGAAGTTTATAGAGGTAATCTAATCGTAACTTGTGTTGTATGTATGTATATAGATATATACATACATATAAACGTTGAACGTTCATCGACAAGATCGTAAAAAATAATAATTTTCCTGGAATTGGATACTTTTTCCTCGTAGCCATTTTTATTGTTCTTTAGACAATGGAAAGATTTCTCTAAAATAAAAAATATCTAAAAAGAACCTTGAAGAAAAATAACAATTATCTATATTCTTTATATCCATTGATCATATCCTAGCTACTCATGAAAAAATTCGATTAAATCTATTCGAAATTCAAGGCACCCATCTTTTCTTCCTTAGAAAAATTCCAATTCTCCCACAAGGGGGAAAGGATAGGGGAAAGGATAGGGGAAAGGAATCCTTTCGGTGGAATACATTGAATAAAAGTAATCTTAGTCAACGTTATTGTGCAAGCAAGCTAAATAAATTTAATCGAACGAAGAAAACTTTCTCTCTTTGCTTGGACAACAATTGTTTCCATAGAAGTCTTGACCACGTTTTTAAATGCACAGCAGGTAGAAGAGAAGACTGCTATGCAAAATCGGGACAAATAAGAAAGAAAAAAAAAAAAAAAAGAAAGAGTCACACACGCATACATGGAAAGAAAAATAAAGGAGAAAGAATGAGAAACGGTAAGATAGGCACAACTAGGTAGGTTGGTTGGTAGGTAGATAGGTAGGTAGGTTGGTAGGTAGAAGCTAGGTAGGGTAGAGAAGGTAGGAAGGTAGTCAAGCAGAAGGTTAGCAAGCAGGCAAGCAGGCAGGCAGGCAGGCAGGCATGGACAGGCAAGCCTGCTGCTGCTGCTGCTGGCCACATTATGAGAAGAGACCTCTCCTCCTCGTTCAACCAATCCAAACCTTCTTCTTCTTCTTTTTTCACTTTTTATTTTCTCCTACAATGGTACAGAATGAAAGCACAAAGAGGGTTTGCATATTTCAACTGATCTTTATCTAATCTTCTAAACTTCTACTGGCACAAATACTAAAGTATAAAGTAATTTATATGAATATGTATCTACTGCTGCTTGTAATTTGTTGTAAAAAAAAAAAAATAAATTATTTAAAACTTGAAATTATCCAAATTGTGACGAAGGAAACAAAAAAAAGAAATATATCTGAAGAATTTATTTGAAAGTATTCGAACGAATCTGGTTTCGGTCCATTCGTTGAGAGACTGAACGACGGTTGAGGTCGAAAGAACGCGGTGGTTGAACCATATACCATAAAAGGAAAAGAGGAAGAGAGAAATCAAGATGGCGTAACAGACTTGCACCCTAACGAGTGAATTTCGAAGGATACATTTTCGGCCACTGAGAAAACGTTCGAAATTAATCGTTCAAAGGTAAATCAATCCTTACGATTCGACTGAAATAATAATCACGAATTGAGAGAAGAAAAACTGGAGAAGAGAATAAATTCAATAGTTTTCGAATGATTACAAATAAAAAACTAGAAAAAAACATGAGAACAGAAGAGAAGAGAAGAGAGAAAGAAGAAGAGAAGGGTAAGTTCCGGAGAGCTCGATGAAAAAGCTCGTGGTCCCGCGCGCAGTCCGCTATATCGATCGCTGCGCTACCCATTTTCAAAATGGCGCGGACGAGTTGCACCTACTTGCTCGTTGAAATCGCTCAACTTTCAAATTTCATGGTAAAAAAACTAATGCCTTTTTTTATATTATCATCATAATAAGATTATGTCTTAATGATCTAAGAACAAAGAAAACACGAGAACTGAACGCGATTGTGACGAAATTACTTTCGAGAGATTCTCAAGTTAAAAACTGTGTTCACAGTATTCAATTTTATCTATTCTTTTGACTCACCGTGTGGTAACGTTGGGGGGATCGTTCTTAAAAAGATTCCTCAAAATGAAGGTCCTTAAGAATCTCCTTTTAGCAATATATTCTTCTAACTTTCCTTGTAATGGAACGTTAACACTGAATCAGCACGAACTTTCTCAAAAAGTTAATATTTTTTTTTAATATTTCCTCCTTTGTTTATCACTACGCGGGCGCGTGTGCGTGCGTGCGGCGTGTTGGTATATATCGATGATCGGGCGTCGACTTATCGTTAGAAATTCGACGACGATGATATATCTATATATATTATCTTTCGCACAATATAATAATATTAATAATAATATATACCGTGTATATATTTCTCTCTATATATATACGTATATAACTGTAAAGCGTAGTAAATGTATCAATATACAAAGAAAGTTATAGAAAATCGTAGAAACACGATGCGTAGTCGTCGTATGGGAATACTTGGATTATGGGAGAGAGGACGAGAATGAAGAAAAATGAGGTTTCTTAGCGGGAGCGCGTTCGCGAACTTATCCACTTTGCTCGGTAACGCGCGACCGACTGCCGAGGTGAATTTGTGAGAAGACTGGCGCCGATTGGTGGGGATACGCCAAGAGAAGGGGTAGGAAGTGGCAGGGGAGGGGGTTTGGGCGCCCGGCGTCCGTAGGTCTGTTCGTCTAGCCGACACGGCGACGGTGCGCGCGTACGTCGTTGTTCACACATACACATTTACACACATTTACTACTCACTCACTTCTTGCACTCTCAACTGTCGCTTCGTGCAACCGTACTATCAACCTTTCTTCTCTTTTTCTTACTCGTACACCCTCCTCCTCCTACCTGTTTATATTCCATTCCTTTTAATTCTTTCCAAAACTTTTGATCAAGTTTAATAATAATGGTTTTTTAATCATTCATTTTTATGTGTTCAATCTAATGAATGAACTTTGCACGTTTTTTTTTTTTTTATTAGAAACTAATTAAAATGAATCTTAATGTTGTTTCACTTGTACCTCTTGAAAGAAAATGACTATAACATCGATGTGTTGGGTTCTCACTTAAAAATGAGAAAGTAAAAAAAAAAGAAGCAAAAGATAAAGAGGGAGTTATTATGGGTGGGACCCTTAGTAAAGAAATTCGAAACACGCAAGGTGTTACCTAACTTTCGGTGCATTCCTTTCGTTCGCGGTCGCGGTCGGTTGTTCTCTCGCATTAGTCACTTTACTTCGGATAAAGGCGAAAGGAGATTGTCTCTCTCGTCTTGGTTCGTAGCCTTCGATGGGATAACCTTCGATCATTTCCGCTGTGAAAAATGGGTGGCTACTTGAACATACCCAACCACAATAATAATATTTGAATATTTTCTGTTGTGTCTGTTGAAAATATTTCTAAATAATACACGCTATTATTTCTTTTTTTCGTAGAATAGAAAAGGCTATAGAACAGTATATAGATCGTATAATCATTTGCTTTCTCGATTCTAATCCATTTCTTCCATTCTGGTATTTCCATTTAGAATAAAATCAGTTCCAGGAACTGAATCGGTGTATAGACCGACGACGACCATAATCCATGCACTCTCGGTGTTATATATCGATAGATATCCAACAGGGAGTAATAGTATAAAGATTAGAGAGGAAGGGGGAGGAGGAGGAGGAGGAGGGAGGTGAAGAAGGAAGCATCGTATATATCGGAAAGAACTTTATCTTTCGATAGGAGAATTTTCTTGGTAGCCAACGCATCGTTTTTAAATTCTCTTCCTCCCAACATATCGATTCCATTGCGATGCTTGCAAAGAATATCGATGATATCGAGATATCGACTGTATTGTTTGAATACACACATCTCTTTGTGTATTGAATGCATACACGTATTATGTGTGGATGTATGTAGAAATACGTTGTTATATACGAATAAAAGAATTTCAAACGCCTAATCGATTTGGAATGCATCAATCTGATACCAATCTAGCTTGTTTGGAATCGTATTCGTCATTTTGTCATACGTACCGGAAATAGATCTATTTATTGATGACTCCAATCACGAGTAATGGTTTTAAATACGTTTTCTTTCGTTAAGGCATTAAATATTAATCATTCAGAAAAAGCACAAAATATATGAGAAAACAATAAAAGTATCTAATCTGTATCACTTATTATTCATCTAATTCAAAAGTAGAAACAATGATTAACCATTGTTTTCTATTAAAGGAAGAAAACTAAGTAAGAACGAGTAACTACTAACTAATAGAAAAGATAGCTAGTAATGTAATAGACAGGTCAGATTCTCTTATACGGCACGTTCATTACCGGAAACGGAAGCTCCACCTTAGTCATTGGATACGAAGTATGCCTATGGCATCCACCTTAGTATATAATATCAGGTAATCTACAATATATATAAAATATATAAAATAATACTAGACAAATATTATAATATGAAATAATTTTCTCTCTCGTTGAAATTAATTAGGTCATCATCCACAAAGGATGAACTTATTTGGATGCGTATACGCGTATGGGCGTGAAATATTTCTTTTGTACTATTTAATTAAATTCATTCATTGGAAAAAAATAATAATTATTATTATTATCATATAAAAAGAAAAAGTAGGTGAACGATGATTGGAACTTGAACGGTTAGAGAACACAGGAAGAAGATGTCGGCCATCCTTCTGTTCCGGTCTTTAAATTTTGGGTCGTGTACCACCATCCCTTCTTCTCTTTTCCCTTAGAGAGAAACGAAAGCCCACGGAACTTCAAAGCAGTAATAAAGTCCAATATCGTATTATTCGTTTGCCGGTTCCGGTCAGGCTTATAAAATGTACGACGACCACGATAAATTATATGATTTAAGAGAGAGATAGATAGATTGATAGATGGTTAGATGGAAAAGGACCACGAACTTCAACGATGACGACGACGACAACGACTACGACGATGACAACCAAGAGAGCCGCCATTTTAATACGTTTAAACTTGCTACTTCCGAATAAAAGTTCATCAGTCGCAAAACACAAATACAACATAACGAAACCCTCTCTTTTCTCTTTCTCTTTCTCTCTCTCTCTCTCTCGCGCGCGCATGCATCCGTCGGAACTGTGGACGGCTGGCGCCCGAAATTATTTTCGTTTACGATAGTAAGAGAGAGAAAGATAAAGGATGTGTTATTTTGTTGTCTCTTTCTATCAAACGTATGGCAGTAGTAGTAACGCTTTTCGAATATTCGCACACATTCACGCTCATTGCACTTTCGATGCACAGACTATGTGTGGCGGATGCACATCCTGTAAATTTGTTAACTCGTTAATTTGTCGTTTCTTTTTTTGTTAATATATTTAATATCCCAAAATAATATTTATGAAATTTAATGGTACGATTTAGATTGGATATTTTGATAGTAGAAAAGAATAAAAAAATTAAAGGAAAAGAATTTAGAAATATATTTGATATACTATTTACGATTAAGATACGGGGATGATCTTTGTATTTTTTTATGGTGAGAAAAAAAAAAGAAGAAAAGTTCTGAGAAACTAAACGAACGATCTTATCTTGAAAATGTTCTATCGCAAACAAGAAGATTATTATTTGAAATCGATATTCTTCAAAGTTCGTCTCTTTTTCTTCACCACTTGAGATACCTTTCTTTCAAACTATAGAAGATTTACGACTTTCAATAAACGAAAGAAATAATAATTCCACTATATACACAATTTGACGAGATACCAAACACATCTAAAAAGAAAAGAATAAATAAAATGACTGTTCTCTTTAGATAAACAAAAAAATTAACTCTAGTTAATTACTTTTTTACGCAGAGACATTTTCAATATTGCGATTGTATGATAATTAAATCACTAAGGTATAAGTTAATATTAATTAATTCTCTCTCTTCCCCCGCCTTTCTTCCCAGGTCAACAAACTCAATTTGTGTTAATTAATTTCTTCGCGCAAATATGTACCAAAAAAAAAAAAAAAAGAAAAAAAGAAATAAAGATAAAGAAAAAAAAGATGACTATAATTTTGCAAATAGCAAAAGAAGCGTAGGTAGTATTGTTATTAGCGGGAGATTCATTCGAAAGTGCAAGGATAAACGATTAGTCTTGTGCAAGGAACATCTTTTAAACGAAATTCTTTGAGTTTCTCTTTCATGCGAGGCACGTGCGTGAGTCGCGTAGGAACGTGAGAAACCAAGAAGAAGAGGACGAAGAAGAGGACGAAGAAGTAGAAAAAGAAGAAGAAAGATCAAACGTAGAATCGAACAGTGATTCGAAGATCTTCGATCATTCTTTCTTTATTTGGTTCTATCGCACGTGGATTTTCAATCAATGTTATTGAACTTACAATTAGAAACGATAATAATCAAAAATATTATTCCTAATATGTAATAAATGGATATTGATTATTTAAAAAGTGTCACTAACTAGGATCAATGGATCTCAAATTTATCGAAAAAGATTTGTCGGATTGATAGATCGATCATTTCGTTCTTGTTGAACTTACAATACCTTATTTGTGTACTCGTAGAATATTATTAATAAATAAATGAATAAATTACGGCTGGTTTAGCTACAAATTCACTGTACGTACATAAAACAAGACGTATGTGGTGAATGAAGTATATATAATAAAAATCGTATGAAGGAAGTAATAAATTGTGCTTTCTCTTTCTCTCTCTTTCTTTTTGCAACACCTGAATGATAATTATGCATAATTTAAATGTCATTAATATAATAAAAGTTAGATAAATAAATCATCGAACGTACTTATCAAAGAAAATTACTGTACAATAAAATATATTAAACACATGAGGAAATAATAAATTGTGTTCTCCTTTGAGAACGCGAATAATAATAGTAAATAAATATAATTTATAATGATTATTAAATAAAAAAGACAAAATAATAATTGAACAGTAATCCGTTGTTAAGAACACCATTGAAAAGCATGAGAATAAAATTGTGGTAGAATTGAAAAGTGTTATATAGTTGTCTTCTAGTGATGAAGACAAAAAATAAAAGCAAAAAAAGGGATAGCCATAAAAATTCATTCACAAGAAGGAAGTTTTCCTCGTGCTAGACGAAAGAACGTGATCATCAAAGTCCCTAGTGTCTCGACAGGGATGTCCCCATGAAAAACGATGAGTTTGTAAGTCGACTCACGTACTTTTATTTGCTTCGTTCGTCGCGAGTGACGAAGATGGTTGCTAAAGAGGAGAAGAAGAAGAAGAAGAAGGGGAATAAGGGAACACCATGGGGGAAATGAATGGTAGGGAGGAAATCGATGAAAGACATTACTTTCGGATCGAACTAGATACGTTCGTGGAAAATACTACTACGTGCCGTTACACGTCTAACGTATTGCTAGATGATATCTGTTTGGAAGATAAAAATAAAACAAAAATGTATAATGGTAGAGTGTGTCTGTCTATTTGAGCAATTAGATATTAAAACGATTTGGTTTCGATTGTCAAATGGTAACTCCTTCTCCAATTTCGAATAGGTCTTGGTTCTAAATGATGCTTTGAAATCGGCATGATTCACTTGGTCGGAGTTACAAGTGACATTGAATGCC